AAATAGTAACGTAGTAATATTTGGGAGAGAGAACGCAGAGCGCAGATCTACCGTTAAATAAAATAATTGATGGTCTTTGAAGTTCCAATATCTTTACTGTACCATTAACTTAATTGTTTTCAGTATTATAAAACTATATCTGACATAACAAGTAGCTCGATGATTGATTTGACGTTGAAAATCAATTCTATAGGAATTATTGCCTTAAAATAACGTGGTTTTTATGAAGTGGGCACATTTTTTGTTCCCTTGCGACTACAACATACTAAAATTTTTATGTATTTCCTTTTGTCTTATTGAATTAAATCTCTACAAATTATTGATATGTCCATGACATTGTATATTTATTCTTATATACAAATGGAGCGTTTCCATAATTGTAATAAATAATTCAACTTCAATAATTCGACGAAAAAAAATCGGTACGGCCATTGAAGCTTCAGTGGTCATTTTTTTTTCACCTAAACAAGGAATATTTTCATTGGCGTAATTGCGTAGTTGCGTAGCTCAGTTTGGTCGTTACTCCCACGTCTGCCCGTTGTTGGAATGGGGAGGGGGCTGTAGGAGGGACACGTGTATCAATGGAGGGAGGGTACGTAGTAGCGAGGCGTAGGGCTGCTGTGCGAGGCATAAGAGCAAGCGAACAGGACTCAGCTGATTTTGATTTCACTCGATCAATTAAATGAAGAACCATCCTAAACTTTTAGGAAATACCGTGAACGGCATATTGTTAATTAATTTGAATATGTATATAAACAAGTCTCAGTTCAATATCGACTGCACTTTGACATACTGCGGTGACAAATAGTCAGTCCAGTATTTAAACATAAACATGAATAGCGATACGGTTCGATATTAATATGAAAATTAATTAAAAATTATGTGGTTAGAATATGAAGTGCGCTTAAACACATTTAGTGTAATAAATGTGAAAAAGAAATTACACTAAATGTAGAAAAAGAATACGATTAAAACAATTTACATTGAAAGTTAAATGAGAAACAAAAATAACAAATCCCTATAATTGGTATAGAAGTTGTTTATTTTCAAAAGAATGATATCTATTTATATGTTAAAACCTATCCGATTACTGTTTATATTCAGTAGTGCAGACAATTTAAAATTGCTTCGCGTTTTAACAACTCGCTTTCCACTTGTGACTTGAAAACCTTCCCTTCACTTTCCCGGGCCGAAGGTACTTTCGCTAGCTACATTACCAGGGCTGGTTCTAAGTGCGCAAAAATTGAGTTATTCAATACTTCACTTGCATATTACCATCTTACGGAGAGTTACTTAGGAATTTTTTTTTTATTCATTTTATGAGCCACAGGAAATATCCTTATTCATTCTGATTTAAAAAAACTATCACTTACATTTAATTAAAATAAATACATTAATTTCACTGATATTAGTAACAGAATTGGATATAAACTAATTAGTTTGAGTTTTCGCTATTTAATACACTCACAACTTCATGTGCCGACTGGTGATACACATTGTGTATTCAAACAAGAAACAAAATCGATTTTCTACGCGATTACTATCACCTTGAAAGCATGAATCGTTATAAAGTTAGATAGGTATATAATGAAAGCGCAGTTCGTTGAAAGGTGAAAGGTATTTGTTGCCAACGTAAACAAACGCGCGTGTCGTGGGGCGGGCGGGCCGACCGCTCATGAAACATGCATGACGACAGCCTGAGCGTTGTATCGACTAAACGAGATATATAACAAAACGTTAATGATCATTATGTACATATATATCTATATCATAACTTGAATAAAGTTCAATCTAAGTTCGTTCGTTGATACAAAATTAATGTTTTATTAAAGCAATACAGGTTCGAATGCTTAAACAAATTGTTTCAAACGGAGCCTATTTTTGAATAGATAATTTTGTATGGAAAATTTTTATTAAAGTCAATATATTTTAATAATTATCAAGAGAACATCACACCGAACTAAATTTCACAAATTTTCTTAATAAACTGTATGTACTTGATGAAATTCACAGCAAAAAATAATCACTCGATAACCATATTTATTAAGAAATGTTTAGGCAAATTATCTATACTAATATTATAAAGCTGAAGAGTTTGTTTGTTTGAACGCGCTAATCTCAGGAACTACGAATTGAAAAAACATTTTTGTGTTGAATAGACCATTTATCGAGGAAGGCTTTAGACTATATAACATCACACTACAACTATTAGGAGCGAAGAAATAATGGAAAATGCGGGCGAAGTCGCTGGCGGCCACTAGTTACTTATATAAGACTCATGCAAGTCTTATATACTTATGTAAGTATTCAGAGTACTATGTTGTTTACTTATTTAGTGAATACTTAGTTAGATGTTATAATTTTTTCAATAAAGTATTATAATTAAAAGCAACCTTCTTTTTTGCATTATTATATAAAATATTTTCAACTGTGAAAGAAATGGGGTAAATCAATTGAATATATGTCTATAAAAGTTAGTAACTGTTAGTAGGCGTTCATCAAAAGACAGGTTTATATTGTACAGCCGAAAACTATTGTTAATAAAGGCCTATTCACTTTGATCGCGATTCAATCATATTGATTTATGATATTGGGTTTAAATAATAGTTTGTACTAAGACCATATTTTATAGCTATTCATATTTGTTTCGAGTGCAATCTATCATCATCACCACGTGTTGTATATCTTGAAATACGTGTATTTTTTTCATATAAGCTTATATTATAAAGAGTCCCAAAAACCTTCCCAATTTGAAAAATTCTCCCATCTACGATATAATTTGTTATACGCGGATATGTATTTCTAATCTATGGTAATGAACAGTGCTGGGCTCGTAATTTTACATGTTATTTAAAGCTCAATTTTTACCTAAGAGGGTAAAATTTTCAAAAGTTTCTTTTGCAAACTTCCACGTTATTATAACTATTAGTGTGAGTAATTGCAACTAGATCCGCTCAGAAGTTTGAGTTGTGCGTTAATATATCAGTGGGTCGGCAACACACGGTATTTGGATTGAGAATCAAAGTTAAGATTGTCTCAAACTGTAATTAAACAGATTATGATTTTTGTTTTTGGATTTAAGAATTTTAAAAAATCAGTTGATAGCCGTTTGATAAAACTAAGACTTTTGACTTGTAAAACGTAAAAAAACCTTACTTATTGAGAATAATCAGTTGAGATTTTGTACTTTTCTCAATTCGGAAACCGGCCGTAAGTCACCTTAGCCCAAATTTTTTTATATAGACTTTTGAAATATTTGCAAAATATTTGAATTCTATAGTTGAATACCAGTATGAACGAGCCCTTCAAGCGGAGGTGCGTCGTAGATCGATACAGGGGTGGGTGGTAGTGAAGGTTTCGAAGCATCGCGGTAAATCAACAAAAATATACATTTCACGTGACTCCTGATAGTTGGCAGCACATCTCACTATTTTCATTTCTGCTCACACTGTAAACAGTAGTGTGGGATGGAGAATGGAGTTCGTAAGTGGTGTTTACTTTGGATTCAGAAAGATATGTATTTTTAGTTAATGCCATATAGTATGACCAAAGGTCATACTGTATGTTATAGCTTTACTTGAAAATTTTTCGTGCGAACTAGACTTGTTATCTTTAAAGTAATTTTTCAATGTGATAAGTCTATATGAGACAGGGAAATGAATACAGTCGTTCTATGCTGAAATTCGTGTTGGCTCTTCTCGTTATAAGATCTGTTGCTATAGATTTACGAACCGTTGAGTTGAGCCGATACTGTCGAATATGTTTATTTCGAGCTTCTGCAGCTTCTTCCGAAAGCTGTCCTATGGGTAAAATTGCCTCCTTCATCACAGCTGCACCATGCCGTAATATTTTATGTAGTGTTGGTGACATTGGGTAAAATTTATACAAAGACACGTATAATTCGGCAGTTTCTTTGCAGTAAGCCTCAAATTTTTCTGTATTTATTTTTATTCCGCAGCACATAGTATCGAGAATAATTTTCAATCTGTAAATTAAATTTGGATTGATCCCAGTTATTTCTGCGGATTTTTCGTAATGATCGAAAAATCGTCTGCTGGTGTTGCCATCATTGGTGTTACCAAAGTTGGCCTTGGGTATATCTACAAGTAATCCCAGTTCTTCTCGAAATTTATTCTGTATCTCTTTTTTTTTTGATTCAACTAGTACCTTCTCCTCTGCGGTCAATCGAATGTTCCACTTCATGACTGGCAATTTGTATGCTACATGAAGTATGCTCTCGAAGAACCTAATCCGTGCGTGTAGCAAGGATAGCCCAAACCTCATGTTTTCTGTTATGCATTGTCTCTCTTTATCCAAGTCATTGTACTCTGAGGGTGTTGCACCACAAATGTAACATCTCATGGTGGACTTAGTATTTGTAGCAGCATTGCATACTTTGCCATCTACCATGGTGAAAAGCATTTTATGCTTTATTGTTATGTTATTGACCTCGGTCTTATTTAGCTCCTTGATTTGACCCTCAATGTAATTTATTTCTTCATTCGTCACGTCAGTGGTTTCTTTAATAAACCTGATACGTATCGGTCTACAATAACGTGGCGATGAAGGGGTGGGATTCTGCCAAATTATTTTTTTTTCCGGCCCATATACTAATTGTAGCGTAACCATAGAACTTTGAAAAATATTAGCGTCAGAATCGGCCTCATTTTCAAACTTCATCTTATACTGCATCTGCTGTGATCCATCACAACCCCATTTGCTGATTAGGACTAACGATTGTTTTTCTTCATCAGTCAATTCTTCCAGTGTCTCGTTACCAATATGTTCCAAGAGTCGTTTGATTGTATGATCCATCAAACTCTGTACCCTTATTTCTGCGCACGTTTCAGTCACTCTATGGATTTCCGGATAGCATTCTTTCTTTATTTTTTTTAGTACAGAATAACAAGGATAATACCCTGGATTTGAATCTCGTACAACTTCGTATTGGGCTTGAGTAAGACCCGCTTCAGCGTACATAAATAAAGCTCGTAAATGTGTCAATTTCGTAGCAATTTCTTTTTCTTCTTCAGCTGTTTTTTTTTCATCGCCAATGCGTACTTTTTAGCTTTTTGGGGACTCTTTGTAAGCGTTTTTACAATTTTTGACGCTTCGACTTCGCCGGTCTTTCGCAATTTCATTTGTGTTGCGTACGCCAACTCATCAAAATCAGAAGATCGAAGGTCTTCTGTTTTACGCCTTTTACTCCTTTCTGATAAATCTGCGAACACCTTTTGAGGTCTGCCTGGACTTAAACCTGAAACAATGTACAATTTCACTCAATAACGGGCTTGTGGCTCGACCTTAACTATGTTTTTCACCTACCTATATATGTGTATGTATATAATAACAAAATAAGAAAATTACTAAGTAACTAAATTAAAAATGATGGACTAAAACTACCTGCCTACCTCATGTTTTTAATTATTTACCTAATGGCTAATGACCTCCTTTTAAGTAGTAAGTAATGAGTGAGTACTAATGAGATTACAATAATGGGTTGTGTGTGAATATAATAGATTGTAAATACTTATTTATGTGACAATAACAAACTGGTTTAGTGGCTCACGTACCTGCTTTTGGTAGCGATATGGTTCCCTTCAGCCACTTGCTGTTGTTTTCCAGGAATCTGGCTTTAGTATTGCGTGCAGTTGACCATTTCTGTTTAAATTGGTGTCGTATAATTGATAATTTCTGCTTCACATCAGCAATGTTGTCTTGTCCAGAATACTGACTGAGAATTTCAGACTCCATGAATTCTAACTTTTCATTGAAAGTTGAAGCGTTTGAGCGTTCCATGATAAGCCAAAAATAGCGGGGTGGTGCGGGGTGGTAGTTTTTAGAGATTTAATATTCTATAAGACATGGTGTTTTTAAGACTATTAAAACTTACACTTAGAAATGCTAAGAAATACTTTAAAACCCTTCGTGATATTCTAAATTCAATTTTTTTTATTAATTTCTGAGACATTATTTAAAAACTGCAAAAAAAATATAAAGTATGAAAGTTTTTACGTAAAATTAAACTCTACATAATGTACATACCTGGTTGTTCACAATCCAGCGTAGATAGGTTTCAAATTTACAACTTGCTATCGGGCTGATAAATATTTATTTCTATAGTTTATGGTTGAGAAAAATAAGAATTTTGATGAAAATTATTTAAACGATGTAATCTATTCTTTACTTTTTATACTTACATTATTGAAAAATAACACTTATAAATATAAGTCATATTTTTGTTTATGGATCAATAGTAATGTATAACACATTTTGATAGATATATTAATGATGGTATTATGTAACGTTTATAATGTTTTTTTTATATTTTTTTATATGTAAACGTAAACATTAGTTGACGTTTCAAAGAAAATTAATCCGCCTCGAAAAAGCGTTCGGCCAAATTCTAAAAATGTGAAATGAATTTCTTCATAATGTTTTCTTGCGATGAACTGGAAGTCTTTTTTCAGAATTTTAAATTCTGAAAAAGACATTTATATTTATTTATTATTTAAATGCCATTTATTCGTACTTTGCCAAGAAACTGACAAAAGACTGCTTTTCTCTCCCCGCTACATTCCCTCTAACTTTACTAAGAGAACTACAGAGTTCAGCGAATACGATCTAATTTCTTGACTATCTGAGTTGGTCTAACTAAAACAGCTTCATTCTCGGATCTTACAGATGCAAAACAAGTGAATTAAGTAGTAAGTAATGCAGTATTTTGCAAGCTAATATTTTCCCAGTTAACATTGGACGCTCCGATATTCTGGTTACGTTAAAGGTACTGCAACTTCTTTTTAAATTCAACGCTCGTTTTATGTGAAAAGTTTAGGCTTTCTGTAGATCCCAAATGGATAAGCGGAAACCTATGGAAACAAAACTAATTCAAAGGTGGTATTACAAAGACTTTCACTCTCGCTAGAACAATTAGTTGAATGCGCACGGAGTGTCAGGGGTAAACTACAAGCGATGGCGTATACTATTTATTTATTTATATGAATGAACGTAATTCTAAGATGACCTGGAAAGTTGAAAAGAAAACATAGAATTCGCTGGGTTTATGTTTAATCGATTATACAAAAGGTTAGGTCTGTTGATAGTCAAAATGTGTGTAGTACATTTAAAATTGTATTCAATATTTATAGGACAATAGACTGCTTAAAGAGACTACTGATTTATTTTAATATTTTTAACGAATTTTATCTCTATATATATTAAATTCTATAGTCATCATTAAACCCACCTTTGCCTTAACCCACCACGTCGACCTGTTGCGGGTTGGTGCTAATTACTACAGACGCCATTTTAAGCAATTCTGTTTAATGTGCTTTTAAAACGCGAAAGTGCTCAATATTTTTAAAATTTCAATCATCCATTTGATGTTACCTTTGCTGCTAAGCACATAACACCTCTTTTATACGTTCTGTGAAGCCGAATTCTCATCCGGGTACTCAATTTTCAACAACAAAATTACAGTCATTTTATATAGATTTACCAGTTATTGTAACTGTGCTCGCAACATGACGCTTCTCGCTTATAAATTGTGTCGTCTACAGATTAAGATCAGCTCGCTCGCATAATGGAAGAAATCTCATTGTGCGGAGCACCCCGTAATTGCAGACACCGGTGCACCAACAACACCTAGAGAATAGCAATCATCAGATCTAGTATGGCAACACACCTGCGCATGCGACGACAAGAAGCCCCTCTCAATTGAAAATTTAAATTTCTTTAGTATATCCATTTGCAATGTCCATGAATAATCTAATTGTATCCTTTAAAGTTAATCAAATTCGAGAGATTCTCTAAAACCTTATTTTTATAGTCAATAGAGTATTCAAGTATTTGGTAAGGTCGGCAGCGCACTTGTAGCTCCTCTGGTGTTGCAGGTGTCCATGGGCGGCGGTAATCACTAACCATCAGGTGATCCATCTGCCCGTCTGCCCCCTATCCCATAAAAAAAATATAGGTACTGCTGCCTACAAGATATATTATTGTGATTCGCCATCATAATAATTGTAGCTAATTCAGCCTGATAATCTCCAAAAAGTCTATAATGTGTCTGGTGTCAGAAATATTATATCTTCTTGATATAAAATTGTATTATCCTAGATGTGTGCTACGTTTTGTAGATATCAACAAACGATCCTCAATCAACAAAACATGTTTTGGCGTTGCACGCTGTTGATTACAGCAACAGCAAATGTCAGTGTCATTTAATTTCATTTGACTCGAACATTATAATCAAAAAGGCTGTGATGACTGAGCGCTATGTCACAGCAGAGGTTCGATTATCAATTTGGTTTGACGAACTTTGTGTCATAATTTTTTTAATATTTTTGAATCAATGTCAAACTAAAAACGCAAATTAAAAATGCAATTCCTTAAAACGAACAATATCATAAAATACGTAATTTATTGAACTGATACATAGGTAATTAACGATAGTGTAACAAGCGCACGCAACATAAAACTATTAATTATATTTATACCCGCATAAAAAAGCCACGACACACCATGGTGAGGGCGGAAACCCAATGAAAACACCGGGAAAATGGCTGCAAAACGACCGCGTGGAGCGCACACAAACAATAAACCTTTTATAGGCGTCATAAAGGTGAGCACATAAAAATCATTTTATTCATTTAGCCCGATTTTACATCAGCACTGATTTCCTGGTGCGCTTACTTTCGCGCACCCTGAGCCCGACGCAGCTTTTCGCGTCTTTCCTCAGAAAAATATAGCGATCCCGCTCCCTACTATTGCCCCGTCTAGCTTACACGCGAAGGTCGACGACCGGGGCAACGAGCGCGCGAAAGTACTTTCACTGCGTCGGCGCATGCGAGTCTATGCCGTTCGCTTTGGATCACGCGCGCGTTTGCGTTTAGTCTGTATGAGCATTTGCACGTGAACACGGAGATAACCCGGGTTTATCGGAGAAATGCCTTTGAGGAGCGAAGCCGATGGCCGGCGAACGAATCCGCAACAGTTTAGATGTTAACTAGTCGTAACTCATCTAGGAATGCCACTCTGCTTGCATCTCGAGATCATCTATAGGCACTTATGGCCATCGTAACTCTTGAGTGTTTGAAGATCAAAAGGAATCTCCATTTGCATCTTAAAAAATATTACTGGAACTATAAATGTAGTCAACTTCGTTTTAGTAGTGACTTTGCTTTTGTAATAGTGCAATGTATTGTATAGTAAGGTAAAAAGTAACAAATGGCGCATAATGCAGTGTCGTGTCGTGTATCAGTCGTGCTAGGAAGCGCGAGTGAAAGCCAACGTTTCTGTCACGAGCGCACGCGCAGCCATACTGCACACTGTACTACAGGGTTGTTTAGTTCCACTATTTCAATATTCACCCTTGAATGCGGTTCAAAATTTGATACTTTTAAGAAAAAATTTAATATGTTTTGAACAAGTTTATCATTTTTCTTTTGGCAATGAAAGTCTTTTGTGATTATATGGAGAAAATTAATTGATAGTAATTTTGTAAACTGTCTCCTAATGAAAAACTATCGACTCTACACATATAATGAACAAATTAATAATATGAATTAAATACATACGGTAAAGTGTTCAACTTTGAGTTATACGAACGTTAATTATTTTCCAAAAGATAAATTTAAAGTCTTGAGGAAAACTCCGCGTGTCCATTTATATGTGAAGATTTTCTTTCATTATTTTCTCTGATTGTGTAATGAAATGAATAAATCAAGGAAGTAATTCAATTTCAGTGGCTGAACTTAATTAAGCAAAAGCAAACGTTAAGTCTACTTTTATTACGTTCACTTATGATTATGACAGTTTTGCAATCGCAAGATTTACAATAATCTTTATCTGTGTATAATTTTACTCATGACATTTCTAAACGTAATAGCAATTATGATTAGTCCAGCTTGAGCCTACAAATGATTTTAAGGTCGGATGGAGTAACATAAATAGCTACTAGGGAAATAGTTTTATATCACTGCTTGTTACATTACATTCCAATATTTTAAAACGATGTGCCTCTGTACATCTATGTGAACATAATAATCATAAAAACAAACCATGGGATTTTGTTGTTTTTATTTTCAAGATCGGCCAGAGATTTTAAGTACGACGAACGTTTGATTAGGGTTTTATATAACATGGATGACAGAAACAAACGTGGGAGATGATCTAAAACATCTTCCTCCGTACCGCAGATCAAGGGCGGGATTTTTAGGAATTTCCTCAAACAATATTTTTGTTACACGCAAAAACACTTTTAAAACTATTCGTTGTACTGTTGTCAATACTTATATAATGTAGTGTTACAATTAGATAATGTAGAGGTAGTGTTACTTAATAACGCTCACTCTTTTTGGAAGCTCAAGTGCTGAAAAACAAACCAAAATATGTACATTCGAAACGTACCTATTCTACTTTGAATTTTAGGACGCAAGCTTTGAATTTCACACTCAGAACGGTTGGCGTTGACATTTTTAATCAAACAGAAAAAGGCAAATGGCAGCAGAGTAAAGACAGTATAAGACATAGGAATAACGATATTTTATCAAATAAAATTCCGGAATGTGAGTGGTCGATGGTCCAGTGAACGAATCTGCAGCACCATAAGTCCACCCGGGACGTGGCACGTGGCCTGCGAGCTGCATCTATTTGCAGTAAATGGGTCAAGCCGCGCCCAACTTAGCTGCAAGAACGAATACAAAAAGAGTAAAGCGTAATGCGCCCGCTCACACTATCCTCCGGTTATCCCGGGTTAGCAGCTCGCTTTGATCACGGACTAAATTGACATGTCTATGTGA